TAGGTTCGTCTGAGCTCTGCGTTGTTGTGTTGTTCGATGGGTTACCCTTCTTCGCGGGGCGCGGCAAAATTGAGATTCGGATTGCTGCTTTCGTTGCTTCGTACTGCTCGTCCAAATTCTTCATTTCCTCCTAGTTTACGACGAAGTCCGATGACCGGTGTAAAGCGTCTTGAATTGTTTGTGGCGTGTTGAGTGCCATCTCCCGTCGGAACTCGGATTTGTACCACAAAGATCGTTTCAGAGCCTCGAGTGCGGCCTTGTCACTTATCCCTTCAATTTTGGACACGACTGCCTTGAATCTTGCCATGTAATCCCGAAGCGGTTCGTTTGGTCCTTGGGATAGTGCCCACAGGTCGGCATCAGATGTGCCTCTGTCCATAAACATCGAGTATTGTTTAAGGAACAGGGTGGAGAGCTGTTGAAAACTGCCGATTGAATTGCGTTCCTGTCTTGAAAACCACTCGAGTGCGGCCCCCTTAAGATGCTCCACGAAGAGCAGGCAGTATCCGGCATCTACTTCCCGCTCGGTCAGTTTGGCGGCGTTCTTTGTGAAGGCTCGTCCCATTGCTATTCGAAACGCTGTGATGTGTGCTTTCGGATAGGTTGTTCCTTCGTAGAACGGGATTCTCACCTTCTCTGGCTCAAGAATCCTGGCCTCCGTGATTCTTGCAGTGAATGGAGTTCTCTGAGTTTCTTCAAACATTCGGTCGATTTCGGGCGCGGCGCTTGTTGCGTTGTGCACTTGGGACTTTATGGCGCGTATTTCAGCTACTGTCCGAGCCATTGAGGCTCGCAGCTCTTTGAGTTCGAGAGTTTGTGCGTGAGTCATTCCCTTTGATTGGGGGGGGGGGTCGCTCCCGCTCTTCCCTCCTCGGCTCATCTTCGTGCTCTTCCTGCTCGATCCATTGGAGGTTTTCTTCCTCCTCGGTTGGGTTGTCGCCGCGAGTGGGATCAGAGACTTCGTCAGTTCGAACGCCGTTTAGTGCTGAGGCGAGCTCTTCTTGACTTATTTGCCGAGCCGAGCTGGTTTGTTGCGGATTCGTGGTTCTGTCGTTCTGCTGGGCGTCCACGTCGATCGCATCATTCTCTTCCTCGCCGGCTTGTCGCCTTGAGTTCCGGCGGAGTGGAGGCGGCTCGGTCATGTTGACTCGGGTTGCCGCGGAAGTCTGTTCGTCGAGGGGACGAAACATTGGAGGAGCCGAGGGGTTTCTTGCGCCGCTCCCTGAGGCTTCTGCAGGTGTTGAGAAATCGAAGCGTCTCTGGATTCCATCCATCGGATCGGGAATTCCGACTCTCCAAGTTGGGTGTAGTCGCTCAGCTGCCATCGCGTCGAGCCTCTCCGTAATCGCCTTGTTTCTTTTGTCATGTTCGTCGATTTTCTTCATCAACGCAGCCATCATGTTTCGCATCTCCTCTTGGGTTTCGGCAGTTGCCGTCGTTGTGCCCGATGCCGGAGCGTCTTTCTCCGCGCCGTTACCGCTGTTGTTGTTATCATCGTGGGTGTTGCTCGCCATGTTCTTCGGATCTTAAAGTCTTGTCGATTTTAGAGTAAGAAAGTTTTGTTTCCCCTCAGACGGCGCCAAATTGTGTGAGCCAAAACTCGCACAACCAAAAATTTATTAAGGAAAACTTAAGGGATCGGAAACTCCTAGGGTTGATCGCAAGAACAGTAAGATCCAGGGAAAGTTTTTGTTGCTGAGAAAGTATTTTGCTCTTATTGCTTAGGGTTGCCAAAAAGTTCCATAATGAAACGTAGAAATCTCTTATTTATACTAACTTCTTAAACCGCCTCTCCGAGAATCTCGAGAGAGATTTTAGGCATATTTCCTTATCGCTTCGTGCGGCCACCGTCATAATACTTCACCTAGGGCTTCTGTGGGCTTTCGACTTCCATAGCCTCGGTTCGGCCCATTTTGGAAAACCGGCTCGGCCCAACACATAGGGAAACGATTTGGCCCATGCCTTCTCTTGCGCTGCTAGGCCCGCTCACCATTCCTCTCGCAGCTCGGCCCATCTAACCTTCTCCACGGCTCGGCCCATCCGCCATTCGAGTTGAGATGTGGCTTGGTCCACCTCGCCGAGGCGCGGCTCGGCCCGAGCATGCTGAAACGCGTCTTGGTCTAAATTACCGAGGCGCGGCTCGACCCAACCACGTTGAAGTGCGGCTCGGCCCACTCTTCGTCCTTCTTACGGCTCTCCCCACTGATCTGTCTCCACGGCTCTCCCCACTTGTCTTGGTGAGCACAGCTCAACCCACTAACTTCGTAGGGCAGCTCGGCCTATGTTTTGTGGACGGCTCGGCCAATTTGTCTTTCTTCCATACTTAGTTGTTTTGAGATGGTTTTATCCGCTTGGGGTGGAAACCGACCCCAACAATATACATATATATTTATATAATTGTCTATATATATATATAACTATATGGATACATATGTAAATATACATGTGTATCTATATAGTTACAACAATCTATACTTTATGTACGTGGATATACATATACAATAGAAATTCTATAAATTAATAAATATTACAAATTAATAAATTTTTGCGGTTCCAAGTTAGGTCAGTTCAAAATTTAATAAAAATCGATAAGATAATAAAATAATAATTTTAAGAAAACTCCTATGTAAATATATAGTCCCCTTAAAATCATAAATTAATAATTATAGATAAAAACTTATTTAAATATATATATAACTAAGATAACCTACTAAAATATGAATCTAGTGTTGCTTTTTTTTCTTAAAAATAAAATCTTTTTGGAGTTCATCTCTAATTTTTCTCATTGCTTCAAAAACTTCTGGTGTTGTCTTCTCGAACTGCATCCAAAAATTATGAAGAGTTCTAGACGCGATAATTGCTTCGTTACGGGTAACTACTTCCACAGGTATCATATCATCTTCAACTTCATCATCAGCATTGAGAATAATGGCAGCCATAATTTCTTCTAAACTCTGAACTTTTGAACATGTATCATTCTCACCAGGATAATCAAGTAGACTATTGACATCCATTCTATTACGATAGCTGAGATTATTAATCACAGCATCAAGTTCATGCATGTCTAATTCACAAGTAGAGTCATCTTCTAAAGTATCTGATGTGGCATCTGATGAACGAATTTTGCAGTGTTTAAAGCAATTTTCTATTGTCTTTTGCTTAACATCAACATTCCAAGCCGCTACTGCAAAATTGATAGCATCCAAAACATTAACTTTTATCTGGATCAGATTGTTCTAACTCATAGCCTTCTAATATATGACGGTAAAGTCTTCTACGATAATGCATCTTAAAAGCTCTTATTATTCCAGCATCACAAGGTTGAATTTTTGATGTCATGTTGGGTGGCAAAAAAAACAGCTCAACATTTTGTAGTCCTTCAATATTTTTTGGATGTGCTGGACAATTATCTATCACAAACAAAACTTTTCTAACATGCATCTTCTTATCAAACCAGCAGATATACTCTTTAAAAATCACACTAGTCATCCAAGCTCTTTTGTTGGAACGGTAGTGATAATCCAAATCAGTCATGTTTATATTCTTGAAACAGCGTGGCTTTGCATATATTCCAATAATCCATAAGGAAATTTTTTCAGAGCCATCTTCATTGCAGCAAATAACAATTGTTAGCCTTTCTTTGTCTTACTTTTTTTCCTTCAAGCTGTTTTGTAGCGAGAGAATGATCAGCTTGTAACCTATAAAACAAACCAGTTTCATCCATATTAAAAACATATATCTTGGGGAAGCTATCTATTTTTTCCCTTATAGCCTCCAATTTCTTCACCATGTCTTGTATGTCAACTGAACCACTTTCTCCAAAACGACGAAAGGATCTGATACCATGTCGTAACTTAAACTTTCCAAGCCAACCTGGAGAAAGTTGGTGAGCTTCTTCTTGAGGGTATACAAGTTTCATTATTTCTCTTGCTTTCTCCAAAATTAACTCGCCAGTCATATTCACTCGATCTTGATATTGGAGAAACCACTCAAAAACCACTTTCTCCATATCTAGAAATTTTGCTGGTTTGTGTCGTTTGATATCTCTTCCTCCTTCTAGGTCGATTGAAAGATAATCCGCTGATCGTTTGAGTGTGTTTGAGATTGTACCTTGACTAATTTTTAAATTAAACTTTTCCTCAATGCAGTTTGAGTGCATGCAGGATGATCTCTCTTGTACTCACATAATTCTTTGCGAATTTTATCCGTCATAGTTGCTTTTAAAACATTTTTTAGATGAGGAGGCATTGTAAACGCAAAGAAGGAGAGCAAAACGTATTTTTTAGTAATGAAAATACATGAAAGTAAAAGTAGTGGGTCTTTTAGCTATGCACAAAATACAGTAATATGGAAATATAAAGAAAAAAAGAATTTAAAACAATATGGAAAATATGTAAACTATAAAAAAAATCAAGAAAAATACAATGAAAGGAAAAATTCTTTTACAAATAAATGGAAATTTTTAAAGACTATGAATTTAAAAACTAAGTAAATAATTATTATAATTTTTAGTCAAAATCTATAAATTAATAATTCTATAAATTAATAAAATATTAAAATCTCAACATTATTAATTTATAGAGTTTTTACTATATATATCTAAATAATTATATAGATATCCATATATTTTTGTTCACGTGTATAATACTATATAAATACATATGTATATATATATATTTATATAATTGCATAGAATATTTATGTCCATGTGGACGCTACTATATACATATATATGTGTTTATCAATAAACAATAAATAATTTAAATTAAAAAATATAAAATGGGTATCAAAATATTAAAAAAAAATTTTCATAATTTATAATATCAAAATAATTATTCAATTATTTTTTAAAGAATAGATAAATATCAACAAATAATTATAAAGATATGTGAAGAAAAAAGATAAAAATATTAAAACAGTCATTTGTCTCAAAAGAAGAAAAGAATGTATATCTGTTTTGGACATTATACTTTCAAAAAGTACTGGTATCACTCTTTCAATAATCAAAACCTTAAATATTAAAAGGGTCTTACGAAAGACAGTAGTACTCTCTAGTTGTCCAAAAATTGACGCTGCTTGCAAAAGGATTTATAGAACTGAACTTGATTTTAAGAAAATTGATTTTAACGAAACAAAAAACTTTTGTAGAGTTACAACTCAAAGTCAGTATCCTTAAAGGTCTCAGCTATTTGAGTAAACCGACCAAATCATTGCAAGACAAATAGCCATATTGCATCTTACTCATGTCTCACACAGTTGTGCCTTCTCTTCAGACACTGAACCGAACTCTTCTAGCATCATCCACCTGCATATAATATTAGACCACGGATTGATGAGCTTCGTGAGAGGATAGACATGAACAAAAAAGAGAAAGATTAGCTTTCTATGTGGAGAATTAATTACAAGGTTAGTGAAAGTTATCTTGTCGGTGACGTCAAGTATCTCCTTCCACTTCTTCCCAATACCCATCTGGAATTACAATAACAAACAAAAAAAGTTATAATTTCATCAGATTGGTTCATAAAATAAGCTTTTACTATGTTTATACTGCCAACATTCTACAAAAGGCTGGTTTAATAGATATCTATATATATCGTTAAGCAAATATATATAACCCTACTATTTTACAATTGAATGGTAATCCAAAGCAGTAGGACTATCTAAATCATCAGAAGATGGCAAAACTCCCACGGATAGACAGCAAATCAACAAGATATGAGTCCGTTCTACGTATATCATTGAGATTTTCGTTTTGAATGGTACCATTTTCTATAAATTCATCAGCTTCTACTATTGTACTTTTATATAATCAACAACATTCAACCAAACTAGCTATTGTATGAGCACACGTCTTTGTACACCACCAGTAAGTAAAACACGGAACAAGATAAACCAAACAAAATTCGGAGATCTCACCAGATTAAAACTAGGAAAAGAAAAACAGCAATCGTATACATAAAGAGCACACCAACATCATCAATGTACACAGTGAGAAGAAAAGCATCATACCAGAACAGCTTCGTTTGATTTCGTCCTTGTCCACAAAGAGACCTTGTCTTGCTTTTGGCGCACACTAGCAACCACACCACAAATCTCATCCGCCTCATCAAATTGCTCCCCAATTAAAGCCATCAACTGCCGATTACACGAGAGAAAAACTCGTCAGTACAAGGATGCAAGTTAATGCTTACAATATTGTCTGAAACACACAAAACAGTTAAAAGGGCTAGAAGATTATACAGTTTCAAGCCAAGCCTTGTCCAAATCTCTCTTCCTGTCATTGGTAGCAACATATGTCCACTTTCCGCCATTAGCACACTCTGGATCTTCCCACTTTGGCTCAACACCAGCTTTGAACAAGTGAATATCAGCATTCGGTGTCAATTTGCTAGGTTTAAATATAGTCTCGTGCAAACTGCAAAAGCCCATACCAAAATCATCATTCAGATTTCAATGAAAAGCATCGCCGATTATAACACTAGAGATTTCCAATCGGTACACAAACGCTGGATTCTGAAGAAATCAAGGAAGCCATTCACAACTAAGATCTAAAACCAGCTTTTACGGAAAATCTCAGATCGAAGACAGAAATTAATCGATAACAATATGAAACGATACAAAAAGTCCTAGAAATTTGAGGAAATCAAGGAGGTGAACAAAAAACACAAACCCCCAGAAATCTTCGACGGTGTCGAATGTATAGGCTTTACGAAGGGAAGCTCCCCAAACGGCGCCTTTCTTAGGATTGGATTGGTTATCGAACCAAAAACTCCACTTTCTTTCGAGCTTGTGAGATTGCTTCTCCGTTGTCTCTATCGGCGGTTGTTCGGCCGCCGCAAGGGCTTCGTTAACATCCTCGGTCGCCATACTCTTTGCAGTTGTGTTTTTTTTTTTTTTTCTCTCTCTCTCTTTCTCTCTCTCTCTGGCTTTGTAAATCGGTCAGAGAAAGTGTGAAAATTTTGGAAATTTGAAGGGCTTCATTAAGGAACCCGATTTGGGTCAATTTCGGGCCGGCCCGCTAGAGACCATTAGTGTATTCAAATTTTGTCTATAAGAATTAAATTTTTATACTGCAAATGTAGTAAATGCCACAGTCCCAACTTACAAAGTTGCCACGGTTGATTTTATAGACGACTTTTCGAAGAATAAATTTTGACAGTGCCTAATTGATCAAGTTACGGTTATTATCCTAGTCTACGGTGGAATGAATAATAGCTTCACACAAACTCACTTCCTAACAGTTATTTTCACAACTGATCTCTAAATTTATCGTGATTAACATAGAAGTTATGATTTCAAAAGAAGAGTTTTTCAAGAAGAGTTTTTCAAGAAGATTTGTGATTCGACTTACACCAACACAGTGGCGGATCTAGAAAAAATATTAGTTGGAAGGATAAGTTTATAGACAAGAAAAAAAATTAGTTGGAGGCAAAAATTTATTTTTTACCACTAAATTAAATTTATTTTGATTGAATTTACCTAAATATTTAAGAAAAAAATAAAAAAGAGTAAGGGGCACTTGACCCACTCCTCTTTTACTACATCCGCCCCTGCCAACACTCAGTGGAGAATTTCCTTCTTCAACTCTACTTCTTCCTTTGTTAATACTATAAAAAAATCATATAAAAATAGTAGACAATCTAATGAGAACGATATAATTACGATGAAAAATGGAATGATTTAAAAGAAAGAGTTGTATAGTTAAGAAAAACCCTAGGTGACGATTTTGCTCTCAAAACTTTCCTTATTTTGTCCTCCTCAAGAAACTCCGATCCTAGCCGCCTCGGCCATGGGATCTGACCCGCTGGCGTCTGGTTCGGCTCCTACTCCCTGCCTTACATCCCCTCCCTCCCAGAAATCTCCATGGTTTGCAATTTCGATGAACAGCCGCCTGAAACTCTGTGTCATGCGAAGTCGTTAATGGCATCGCAAAAGCTACCATCCCAGCGGATATTCTCAGCAATGCTCAGCATCTCTGGACTAACTACATCGTTGTTTACTTTATTGGGGACGCCCCTCACATCGGAAAGGTTCACGCCACGGTGAATCGTCTCTGGTCAAATCAGGAAAAACCATTGAAGATTGATGCTCAGTTCATCAACTCGAAAACGGTTCTCTTTCAGATCGACAACACCCAGATCAGGGAGAAAGTTCTCAAACGCCATTTCTAGCACATCTCGGACATTCCCCTGGTGGTGCAAGAGTGGAATCCAAGAATGTCTTCTCACAAACCGGATCTCTCTGCAATGCCTATTTGGGTCGATCTCCTCAAGGTGCCAGATTCCTTATATTCAGAGAAAGGTTTAATGTTTCTTGGTAATCTGATTGGGAACGCGAAGAAGCTTCATCCTAATACGGAGCGATGTGTTCGATTAGATGTGGCTCGTCTCCTGGTGGTAGTCAATTTGGAAATAACCCTCCCTGAAAAAATCTGCTTGGAATCAGAATCAGAAATCATCATCCCCATTAGCTATCCTTGGCTTCCTCCTCGCTGCTCTCGATGCCTGAGTTGGGGTCACTTGGAGAAGGAATGCTCGCAGCTTCAGAAAGGACCATCGATCTCAGCTGAAGCCCGCGACTCTCATATCCGTGAAAGCCCTCTTAGACATTCCCAATGCGCGCAGAATGTGCAGTCGGACCTACGGGGAGATGATCACATTGTTACTGCGCCGGGAACAACTGAGAGAGTGGAAATTCAAGAGGATCTCACTCTTCCGGAAACCGAAACCTTTGTGGTATCAGTCAAAGATCAGGAAAACAGTGGAACAATTACAAGAGAGACAGAGATTCCTTGGACAGAAGTGTCTAAAACATCTCGACGTTCTCCTGCCAAACAGAGAGAATCTTCAAAGAGCCCTGCAACCTCTCCGTCAAAATTTAATGTCCTGGCGAATTTATCCGAGGAAGAGGATGAAGTGGAAGAGGGTGAGATTCTGGGACAGAAGGGGGAACCCCCTGTAGTTGCAGAGTCCTCAGAGAAGGTGGAGATGGAGCAGTTGGAACAAAGAGAATTGGCTCCTGCGGGTGGACGCAATCGTACAAAACAAAAGTCTAATAAAAAAACCGATTGTCACAACAAAAGACCGCCTTCTTTTCCAGCAAAAACAAAACAAAAAAGCTTCTGAAAAGAAGCACTAATGATCATGTCGTCTTTCTTTGCGTGGAATACCCGTGGTTTTAACAAAATGCGCAAACACAATGTTGTTCGGTCTTGGGTTCAGACTGTTTGTCCGGCTTTTGGTTGTCTTCTAGAAACGCGAGTTCAGGAAGCCAACTGTCCTACCATTCTTGACACTTTTTTTACAGGGTGGAGTTCCACCACAAACTATGATTTCCACCGTCTTGGTCGCATCTGGGTTATCTGGTCTGATGTTGTTTCTATCTCTCCGCTATATAAGAGCCCACAAGTCATCACAATTGAGGTCACTTATGCATCGGGTTTTTTGTTTGTTTGCTCTTGTGTCTATGCCTCGAATTTCAGTAATGATCGAGGGGTTCTTTGGCAGGAGCTTTGCGGTACTAATGAGTATTTACGAGGGACAAATACCCCTTGGATCGTTATGGGGGACTTTAACCAAACTTTATCTTCTGATGAGCATTCTAGAGCAGCTGACTATTTGGGAGATCAGTCGGCTATGCGAGACTTCCAACAATTTGTAACTGATAGTGAAGTTATGGATTTGGGATACGTGGGCTCTCAGCTTACTTGGCTGAATCAGCAAGAGGAGAACCCCATTGGAAAGAAACTTGATGAGCTCTAGTTAACAGCGCTTGGTGCTTTATATTTCCTCAGTCTTTTGCTGCTTTTGAGACAAATAGCATCTCTGACATGCGAGCTGTGTGATCCGGCTGGACAACAATGTTACCGACAAGCGACACCACTTTGAGTTCTTTACTTTTTTGACTGCTCACCCTCAGTTTTTGGAGATCGTGAATAAGGTCTGGAGAGAAACTCCTCCCTTGTTTCACTCTTGATGTGAGTGCAGTGGGCAGCACAAGTTTTACCTTAGACAAGCTGCAAGTGCACAGCAAACACAGTAGTACTTAGGGATCGAATCCACAAAGATCTGTGTGTTGAGGATTTCTAACTGATGCTAAAAACAATCGTAAACCTAATCTAATAAAAAGGGATTTTGGTTTGTCACTAAATCTAAATATGTAGGGAATTAAAAAGAGCTTTAAGTAAAAATCGGTTGAAAAACAGTATGTAAAAAGCGCTGAGTTCAAGGTTCATCTTTAGGGTTCATGTTCTAAGACTTAAGGAATTTAGGTAAGGATTTTCTATGACTCTGAAACTAGGATAGACACATGTAAGATTAGCCAACTCTCGTCACCCTAATCATCTAATCACTTGTTCATGACAATTAACTCTCGCTCTCATGCCAGAACAAGATCATGCTTTGTAGATCGGAATCCATCTCTGCTTACGTATCCTCCGTAGTGATAGACAAGACTTTTTAGGGTCTCAGGGCTATCAATCCCCTTGTCAATGTAGCACAAAGAGGTTTATCAATCCAGATGTGGTGTTAGACACTAAGCTATATGATCAAGTTCTTAATTCAAGCAAACAAGAGTGGGTTTTGATTAATCTAGAGAAAACTATAAATATAAACAGGATTAAAGACTAATGACAATGACAAATGATATGATGTGAATATGATATGATGGAGGCATGAGATTCTAGACATGATAGTTGGTCAGGGTGCTTTGGTGTTAAACTAGAGATGCTGAAGACAATGATGAGACATGATTCAAGTGATTAAGAACTCTAATCTAGGTTAATCCTCTCATGAAGGTATTAACCCCTATACTAATCCATTTTCAAACCAAATTCCCATTTGTGAAACATGAATCAATATGCATTAACAAACAGCTCTTAATGATCATTCAAGCAAATAACAATACATCATCATGCAGAAAAATGTTTAAACCTCTAATACAACTCTTTCAGGAATTTCATCAAACACTTTTGGTGCATGAAATTCCCAGAATCTAGATCTCAAGTGATTATCAAGGATCTAGCATAGAGAACAGTTGTTTAGAGAAATGAATCAATGAATCTAGCCCTAAGCACTCCTAATCTAACACTTTAGCACCCTAACCTACATATCTAGAACCTCATTAAGGTGACTACTCACTAGTCATACTAATCTCTCTTAAACCTTTGCAAGTTGAGAAGATTAGCATGATTAATGATGAGAAATGGAGATGGAGATGATAGATTCAAAAGAAAACAGCTTTAAACACCCAGATCTCCTTAAACTCTCTTGATTAAACACTCAAATATAGATATTTCTCTTCTTAATGGAGTCTTTTTTCACCAAAGAGGCAAGAGACAAAGGGAATAAAACTTAGTTCTCTCCCAAAAAACCCTAAAAAGTATTTATACTTCCTTAAAAACGAACCGGGTCAGCCCGGAACAAACCGGGTCCTGACCCGGCTTTAATGGATAAAGTGGGAATTACTGCGGGTCGGTCCAGTATGTCCCAGGTCGCACACCTAAGTTGCAGTAGATGAAGACTTGTCTTGTGAAGCCTGAATCGCCCTGTCTTAGCCGCACGCCTAAGTAGGAGTGTTTTGCGAGTGTTGCTGCGGCTTGGTCTCCTTCCTCTCCGACTCGCAGGGCTAAGGCGGTTTCTGGGGAATGTACAAACTGTGCGGGCTGGTCTCTATTGCACCCAGGTCGCAGGCTCAAGTCGGAGTGATTTGCGAGTGATCGTGCGGCATAGTTCCAGGCGCGGCTAACTCGCATGCCTAAGTCGCACGATTGTGGACTTAGCATTTCTCTTGCTCTTGAGCTTCAGACCTCTTCCAGTGATAGTTTACCCGCACATATCAACTCGCAGCATCAGCATTCAGGCGTTCATCTTCAGGCCTGCGGGTTAACCAAGTCGCAAGACCATCTCGCAGCATCCAGAGCAGCTTAGACCACTTCGCATTCCGGAG